ATTTATATTAGAACTGAAAATGCAGGGTGCATGCAGGATGTAGTAAGGCAAAATAATCCCTGAAGAAGCACATACCACTATTTTACTATTATAAACACTGCTTATAAAAACTCAGAAGGCACATGTAGGTTCACTGGTTGTTTAGGATAGTACATAAAATCACTGTATTTGATATCAAAAAACCCTGCACCAGTAAGTCCTGTAAGTCAGTAAATTTCTCTAGAATTTCTCAGCAAACCACTTGGAATGAGTGTGTTTACATCTCAAGCATTGAATTCTGCAGAAATTTCCCCTTTAACTTTTTCCCTTTAAAGTTTTTCTTTCCTTTCAGAATGTAGTGGAGTAGATTTTAGTTGCTGAAGCAGAACTGCACAAGTAAAGCTATTTACAGTGCCCTCCAGAAGCAATGGACCCATGGTGAAGATGAACGAACACAAGCTATCTTCATCATCTTTGATGATGTTGTTTATCAGCTTTGTCTTACACTGAAATGTATCAGTGAAAACTAACAGTTTAGTGAAATCTTTTCTAAGGACGACTCTTAAACAGGCTATGATTGAGAAAAACATTCTATTTTTTCCACACATATTTTATTCAGTCGTGTACAATCATCACCCCATGAACTTATGCAATATCAAAACTACAAATACAGTCATAAATACAGCCATAAACAGCACCCTTGATCCATAATAGAGCAGAGTGATGCTGCGATTTCCATTTTCTATTTATGTCAAAGTTTGCCTGCAGTGAATAAAGAGAAATTATTCTAGATAATCTGTAGTCTATTACATTAGACTCCCATCTCCTGATCTGTCTGTGACTGAGTGACTCAAACACCAGTAGAGGGTTTTCTGAGACATCAGTGTTTTATAGAGCCAAGGAAACATTGAGAGAGAAAGAGAGAAAGAAAGGTAAAAAGAGGGAGAGAAACAAAGAGTGAAAGAGACCGAGAGACACTGAGTGAGAGAGAGAAAAACATATAGAGAAAGAGACGAGAGAGAGAGAGCGAGAGCGATAGAGAGAGAGAGCAAGAGAGAGAGAGAGAGAGATTTTATTTTGTTAATTAGTTGTCTAATATGCTAATACGTAGTATCATACTTACACTTCAAACTCTATTAGTTTTATATTTTAATGATATGTCCTAATAAACTTCCTTTATTCTTTACATATTAATGAACTCAGTTTAACATGTATTCTACAGCTTTGGCAACATAGGCCTCACATTCTGTCATGCCAAAAAGCATATTTGATTTGATTAGAGAGAGACACAGAGAGAGAGAGAGAGAGAGAGAGAGAGAGAGAGAGAGACAGTGACAGAGAGAGATACAGAGACAGAGAGAGAGAGAGACAGACAAAGAAAGACAGAGAGAGATACAGAGACAGAGAGAGAGAGAGAGAGAGAGAGAGAGAAAGAGAGAGAGAGAGAAAAAGACAGAGGGAGAGACAGAGAGAGAGTAGCTGTGTGTCAGTTTGCTACCGAGGGGAAGGGGTCTGGTGGGAGAGCTCTCTGTAATCTCACACAGCCACCTTCCGTTTCTGTATTTCTTTTCTTTTTATTCTTTCCCTCGTTTCTCCCTGCCCTCTGTTTTCCCTCCTCCCAGCTCTACTTCCTGGTTTTGTGCTGGTGGGCGGAGTTATGCTTGCATGTGATTGGCTGCTGGGCTAGATGCTCTGCGCTGCTGTATTGCTGTGCTGTTAGACTGCTGTTGCTGCTTATGCTGTTGCTCTCTCGCTCTCTCTCTCTCTCCCTCTCTCTCTCTCTCTTTCTCACTCTCCGTTTTACTCTCTCGCTCTGCTGAGGCACACAGATCACACACACACACACACACGCACACGCACACACACATTCACACACACTCACACACACCCGCCCAGTAGAGCAACGAGAAGCCACACGCGTGTTAGGTTAGGCTGCTCTGTCTCTCCTTCTCTCTCCCTCTCTCCCTCTCTCTCTCTCTCTGAGAATGGTCCAGCCGGTGCCTGGGGCTCTGCTGTCGCGGCCTGCTGCCTGCATCTGATCACGATCACACCACACACACACTCAGACACACTCACATAGCCGGCTCGCAGGGAAGCACAATGTGAGAGGTAAGGACTTCCTTTCTTTTTGCTCTCTCTCTCTGTTCCTCTCTCAGCAGAGCCAGCTGCGGAGCTGTTTTCATTTTTCCTACAGAAAAACCTTCTGGCAGTGCAGCGCTTCGGGAGTGTGTGGGGGGCTGTGTTTTGATTATCAGTGGTCTCTGTGGCTAATAGTTTGTTGTGTCTCTGTGTCTTGATACACAGGCTCACTGTTTCCTCTCATGTTAAACAGGTCACTTTGCTGTCTCTGCGCCAGGTTAGAGCCACTGCACTGTGGAGACACACACATATGTGCAAGTGTGTGTGTGTGTGTGTGTGTGTGTGTTTATCAGGAAGCAGGCTGAAGGCGTGACCCAACTTCTGTTTCCCTCTTTGCCTTGTTTAGTCAGAAACTGCACGTGGTTGTTTAACTGTTCAAGAATTTGTCCTCCCTCTTTTAGACCCTCTACCCTCTTGATCAAATTCTTCACAATATTTTCCAAATACAGTGCTGTCCAAAAGTTTAGACCACACTTTTTTATTTAATATCCAGCCATTTACAAGTTACTTTTTTTAGTGTTAGGACTGAAAGCATACAAGAAAACATATAGTTGCTATCTAAAAAAAAAACACATGTATCTCCATTTTTGTCACTTTTTTATATATTTCTATGTCATTTGAACTCAGAAGGTGTCCTTTACTTTGTGTGAAAATTTCATAATGCTTGGATCAACATTAATGCTGTATAAATAAAACCTCTTTACATTAACTTACATTCAAAGTTGAGAATGTTTTTGCCCTCTCCTGAAAAGTTACTATTTAGAAGATACAGATAATATACATGGCACATGCCAGCGACAATATATTAGATAGAAAATTACACAGAAGCTTTAACAACTAAACATATTTTTCAGCACTTAGTCTGTCCGCCCTTTCCCTTAATTATAGCCTTAATTGTTTTCAGAAAACTCGCTTTCAGCTTTTTAAAGTAAGGATACTGCAGGGACCTCCAAATTTCAGTCTTAGAAGTTGGTTGCATTTTCTGCTTCTCACAATCCAAATAATCCCAAACACGTTCAGTGATGTTGAGGTCTGGACTCTGGGGTGGCCATTGCTCTGTGAACCCTAAATTGAGGTTAGGGCAGGGGTCGGGAATGCGCGGCTCCAGAGCCACATACGGCTCTTGTACTGCCCTGTTGCAACTCCACAGCAGATTTATATTATTAGGTAAAAATAAAATAATCCTCCTTTGCAGTAAAATAAAGCTCTGTTGATCGTTCTAACGCAGTTTTAACAATAAACAGTCTTAAACGCTGGAGTTAATATAGCCTCTATCTGCTAATTCACCCTTTAACCCTGAAGGTTGGTGCGCAGACAGCTGGTCACAGCAGCACAGACAACAGTCTCACCTCGCTAGTAGCTAACAAAAAGGCAAAGAGAAAGATTTAAGACGTACATCGATAATTTGATGACAAATGGATTTATTTGTGTTTACAAGCAATCAGCCGGTTTCCTGATTTTCCTAAGAAGCTGTCAAACACTTAAAAGTCACAAAGCTGAAGTCAGCTCCTCATTCGCCAGCTTCTTGTTCGAGTTCTCTCGTTCCACCTTAAAGGTGTAGCAGTTATGTTTTGAATTACATTTAAGGTGGAATGAGAAAATTGGAACAAGAAGCTGGCGAATGAGAAGCTGACTACAGCCTTGTAAAAAATCAAATGTTGAGAGACATTTTACAAGAAACTATTCTACTTTTGAGAAAAAGTTTCCTGCTGGAGATGCGAGAAATGGGGCTATAGCTGAGCTAAAGCTTAAAGAGCAAAGCAAGTCTGTGGGTTTGTTTATATATTTATATCCTAAACTAGTACATCAGCACGCAATGAGACATATTTACAGCCAAGATGGTTAAATGGACATAAAATGTTGTGGCTCCCAAGGTGGTTTGATTTTTGTTAAAAGGACAGAATGGCCTTTCCCAACATTTGGGATTCCGACCCTGGCTTAGGATTAGATTTAATAGAATCTTTCACACTCAACCTCAAGTTCAGTTGCATTTAATACAAATTTAGCTGAATGTTAGTTAAGGTCAGACTGAGAAGCTACAAAGCATCTACAGAGGACCATCAAAATAAAGTGTTACTGTGGTTTTTCTTCTTTTTTGTCTGTTTTCTTTTCTCAGTAACAGTTTTTTGACAGCTACACATCCTTTCAGACCCATAGCTCTGAGCTGTTTTCTCACAGATGGACAGAAACACCTGCAGACCTTTTCAGATCTGAAGCAATGGCCATTGAGTACAAGTTATTCACTTTTCAGGAAATACTTTTGAGAAGATAAGATATGAGACAATCCACTTGAATAAGGAAGGGAAAGGTCAAAAACAAAAAAAAAAATGGGATTCCTAAAAATGGTACAAGACCTGGTAAACCACCAAAACCATCAGATAAACAAACAAGCTTTTATCTTTGAGAGAGAGGAGAAAATCAAGCTCCACTCTTGCTTCAGATCTGAAAACATCCATCATGAGAAGACTGAACGCTGAGGGTCTGAAAGGAGGTGTAGCTGTCAGGAAACTGTTATTAAGAAAGGAAATAGAAAGTTTGCAGCAAAACACCAAAACTGGACATCTGAGAAGTGCAGTAACGTTTTATGGACTGATGAGTCTAAATTTGTAATTACACAAACAGCAGGCATGAACAACTTCTAAGACTGAACTTTGGAGGTGTGGAAAAACATCCCTGTAGTTTTTTTCTTCGAAAAAACGGAAAGCAAGTCTCCCAAAAAGAATGGAAGTTGTAATAAAGGCAGATGATGGACACATTTAATACTGAAGGATTTGACATTGTATTTGGTTGTTGAGGCTCCTGTGTAATTTAAGTTAAATAGGTTTTCTGCTTTTTTACAGACACTTTCAGATACTGCCCTTAGTGGCCATTGTGAATGGAAATGAAGTAAATGTCTTTCACTCAGCACTGTAGTGGCACCCAGCTAATGACAGTTAACATACAGTTCTCAAAGTTTTTGTTTGCTATCTTAACCGCTAAAGCTAAACATCAGCACTGATACATCGGTATAGACGATATATCACCCAGCACTGTCTCTCGTCCTCTTTATCGCCCTCTTCTCACTGTGTGGTTGTGCGCGTCTGTTTTTTGCATACACTCCATGTGCCGTTGCAGCCTCAGACTCCCCGCCCCCCAAAATGTAAATTACGTGTGACACGTTTAGCTGCTGTTGCCTAATATGGGGTAGTGCAGAGTTTCAGCAGAGCAGTAGGACCCTGCCAGCAGCTCCAGGATTCCACCAGGGTGTGTGAGAGTGAGTGAGAGAGAGAGAGAGAGAGAGAGAGAGAGGGTGGGAGTGTGTGTGTGTGTGTGTATGTGTGTGTGTCACTGGGGAGAGAGCGCGCAACAGTAGAAGGAGCTAGAGAGAGAGAGAGATGTCGACGCAGGGTTTTCACTTCTTCTCTTTGAATCAATCGCTCCACTCAACAGAAGCCATGTAAGTACACTCCGCTAAATCCTAAACACACACACTGTCGGGGTGTGTACGAGGGCCGAGTTTGAGACTTCTGCAGTGGAGCTGCATTGTAAGAGAAACTGAAAGCTGACGGGTTTCATAGGGCCACGTCTTCCTGTGTTAACTGACTGCACTCTAAGGCTGTTCAGTTACTAAGCATGAGACTTATTATTCAGTGGCTATGATATAATAAATTCAGTAGCTATAATTTAGCTGTTACATAGTTATTAGAGTGAGCTGTTGGGTCCACATACAGGGCCCTAGCAGTTTAAGGGGTTCAAGAGGAATTTTGTGCATAATTAAATGGTCAAGATGTAAACAAAGTCATTCAGACTGCTTTGATGTTAAATGCTCCATTCTAACAGCTCAGAATTGCTCACAGCAGTGGTGATAGTAACAAGACGTCTGAAGAGTTTAATGCCTCTGAAAACTACCGCACAGAAAGATATTACTTGAATGTTTCCTGATCCCCGAGATATTGTTATATGATAGTTTTGAAGTGAGCTTGGCTATAAAAATCCATTCAGGTGGAGAAATATTTGCAGGGTGTTCAAAATAGTCCCCAAAGAAAATGTAATTTTGCAGGTTACCACTAGTTTAACATAATCAACATTACCTATAAAAGTTTGTGTAAGTTCAGTGAACAGTGAATAAAATGACTACATATATATAAGTGCTGCAAATTTCATGACCCCTGTTTCCTATCACCATTGTAAAGAAATCAGAGTCAGTAAATTTCTTTCTGATGAAACATTTCACATCAAACCACTCTGAATACCTTCTCAACCTTCTGAAATTTGAAAAATTCAAACTTCCCTTCACTGGGCAGTTAATTTTGTGGCAGTGCCATAAACGTTTCATAAATATATAGGCTGCTGCTTTGTTTGGGTTCCAGGCTAGAGGTTAACCACATTTGGAGGTTATCTTGTTTTATATATTGATATTAAAAGATAACTTAAGAGAAGCTTACTCAGTCAGAATTGTTGGTGATAGGGACAAGATGTCCAAAGGTTTTAATGCCTCTTTACAGAAAGTTAGTTATGAATATGTTTTCTAATGCCTGAAACATTGTTTAGTGATAGTTTTGAGAAAAGATTTTGGCCTTAAAACATACATGCAGGGTGCTGTACGGCAAAATAGTGCCCAAAGAAAACTTTTTAAAATTCATATTTACCACTATTTTACCATTGTCAACATCACATATAAAAATTGTGAGTAGGATCGTTTGGATAGTGAATTAAAGGGCTGTATTTGTGTTGTGAAAGTCATGACCCCTGTTTCTCATCACCACTGTAAAGAAATCAGAGCCAGTAAGTTTCTCTGCAATGAACCATTTCACATCAAACCACTTTGAATAACTTCACATCAACTGAATTGAGAAATTAAAAAAAAAATGGTGGAATTCCCCTTCAGTGGCCAATTTTTTTGTGGCAATGCTACAAACGTATGTAGACTTGACTTATTAATACATAACTTGACTTATTAAGCTTTGTAAATAACCTGACATAATTTAGTAGCTGTACTATAAAATATTGAGCAACTACGATGAAACTGCATTGTACGTTATGAAGTTATTACACTGAGGAGTTAAAGAACCTCGCAGTTTAAGGGGTTAATCGACAGCAGTTGTTATTTTTGCATCACTGGCACAAGCGTTCTGCAGGCTTAGGTTACGAACTAGATGCTAATGTAAAATTTGGCAGTTAATTTTTTAGTTTTCTCACTGTTTTTGGAGCTTTATCTCAGACAGAGGCTCTGGATGTGGTTGTTTTTCAGAGGGAAGGTTGCAGTTTGAGGACAGTAACAGATGTTTTTGAATAGTAAATGAAAAAGAGCAAGTTTAATCTGACGATTACTGGCAGAGATGTTGAGTGGAGGCAGAAGCATAAAGATTACAGACTGCAACTAGTGCGTGTGTGCTGTGCGCCATGTTTTAAGGAGGATTGGGAGTGGTGTGTGTGTGTGTGTGTGTGTGTTTCACACTTCACAGAGGAAAGCGAAAGTCATGAGGAAGTTTTATCACATGCTGTTAGAGGGAGAGGCACCTCTCTACTTCAGCTCCATGCGCTTTACATATGTTTTTTTTTCTTCTAGGCAAGTTTACATGATCCACCTGTGTTTGGACAGGCAGGCTGCATGTAGGATATATACAGGGTTTTATCTTCATATTCAGGATTACAGTACAACCCTTTTAGGGCTGAAATTTCAAGTTCAAATTTAATCTCCTTAACTGCAGCCTTATTATTCAGTTAGTAGTCTTACAGTGAAATTCTGCATAGTGAAATGTTAAGATGTAAACAGAGTCATGCAGATTGTTTTGATGTGAAATGCTGCATTCTAGGGAAACTTATCAGGTCAGAGTAGTTCACAGTGGTGGTGATAGGAACCAGACGTCTGAAGAGTTTAAGGCCTCTAAAAGCTCCCTCACAGAAAGTTAAGTTAAAGAGCATGAAAAGATTATGAATGTACTGTTTTGAAAAAAGTTGTTGGTCTAAATTGTAATTTTATGAACACTTCCTGGCAGAGGGGTACATGCATTTCATTGTAAAGCAAAATAGTCCCCAAAGGAAGCATGTTTTTTTATGATTTACCCCATTTTATTATCATCACGGACATCACTCTAAAACTACATCACAGAAAGTTATTACACGAAATGATGTCTGAGACATTGTTGTACGATAGTCTTCAGATCAGATTTTGGCCTAAAACTTTTTTTAATGCATTCATAGTGGAGTGGTACATGCAGGAATAACATTGAATGGTTTGCATCTCATTGAATTATGCAGAAAGTTTGGGAGTGGGAGTGAATTGTGGACCAACACGACTGAACTGTTGACACATATGACCACTGAGTTGTCGCGAGTCGTAAGCTGTGTTTTGAGTGTGCTGTGAGAGGTTTACCCACATATATGCCCCCAGCAGTAGCTGTTCAGTTTTGTAAGCATGTTATGACATTGTTTACTTATTACTAATTGCAATGCAATAGGAATGTATATTTGCTGTTAGGGTTAGGTTTCAGTCCTGAATCAGCTGGAATTAGGCTGTGCTGGTTTGTTAAGCTCCAAATGAGACCGGGTCTTTCTGCTATCGTTTCGTAAGATACTCTCTCTCTCTCTCTTCTCTCTCTCTCTCTCTCTCTCTCTCTCTCTCTCTCTCTCTCTCATGAGCATGTAGACTACCAGTCAAAAGTTTGGACATATTTTCATAATATGAGATACTTTGTAATCTAAAAACCTTTATGTTTAAAAACAAATGAAATGTATTTATATGACAAATGCAAATAGTCAAGGTAAAAAAATACACTTTTGCAAAAAAACATACACCTCCAGTCAAATAACATATTTTGCTGATGGTCCAATTGAAGATAAGTTAAAATCCTTTACAGAGAACAAATGTAAATATGGCATTTTCTCCTAATTTTAGTGCATAATTTTTATATTGCAATGTAAGTATAATTATAAATATACTATACTTCAATATATAATATTTAAAGTGTGTGATTTGCACATTTGTTTGGGAGGCCCTGCTCAAATTTCATGTCTTACTGAAGTGAAAATGAGCTATAAGTAGTAAGTTCCTCTACAGAGAACTCACTTCCGCAAATTTTAATGAACAGTTACTATTTTTTTGCTTAATGCAACATATCAGAAACAAATAATCCAAATATATATTACAATTTCTCTTTTATATTAAATTCAGCAAAAAATAGAAATGGAGCACTAAAATTGCTAAAAATGCCATTTTTAAGTGTGTTCTCTATAGAGGGTGTGTTAACTTACTTGCACTTAGAAAATCAACAAAACATGTCATGTGCACTTGCATCTTTGACCATGAGACACTGCTGTAATCTGGAAAATATCACAGTCATTCATGTTTCAGTACCAGCTGGTCCACGGCTTGCTGTGAGAACAAGGTGCCTCGTCTCATGCAGCTGATTGAGTCAAGCGGCTCCTCAGGTGGAAGTGCACTAGTGTCAATGTTAAGCTAAGGCTAACTCTAAAAGACCATTCATTTCTTTATGTTCGCTGCCTTGAAAACAAGGTGGACTACTTCGGATGCAATGGACTAGACAGCGGGAATCCCTAGCTCGCCTAATTGGGCTAACTTGTGTGGTTTGCACTGTTCATGTGCTTATTTGTGGCAAACTAGTATAACCGTTATGGCAAAACCAGATGAACCAGTTCAGTACTAAACAAGATCTTTTCTCATTAGGATACACTAGAGTTACAAACATTTTTTCCTCCTGTAAAGTTGGCATTTTTTGAGTTAAGAGGCTTTGTTACAAACAGCGACAGTGTACCCATGTCAATGAGTCACAGAGAAAGTCAGAGACACGTGTTCATGTGTCTGCATGTCCTTGTTTGAGACTTGCATGCAGTCTCTCTGCGCTGTGCTGTTGTGCCCTCTATTGTCTCATTCTGTAATGAAATTAGTCCAAGTATGACTGCAATCTGCATCACATGCGCTTCCATACACAGTTCATACATACAGGTTGAATAAGGAACTGAGCTGTGACTGCCAGACCGCTCCCATTCCTGCAAGCTTTGAGCAGGTTTTTTACGAGTCAATGCCCAACAGAACCTGAATGAGTTTATCTTCAGTTTTACAGCGTAACCATGGTAACAGCAGTATTTCTAACCCTCCTCCCCAATTGAGGCTGTAGTCACCTATACGCATGAGTCAAACATTAGAGTGTCTCGGTTTTGCTAATGACTGTAATGTCCACCCACACACCTTTCTCTCCACACTCGATACCCAGAACCCCCCACTGCAGCGGCAGAAGCTTCAATGACCTCGATTATATGCTCCCTTTATGAATTGGCAAAAACAGAATTTGAATTTAAGCAGTGAAATGCTGTCATTCAGCCAAGACCAGTTTTCGTTTTGAACTGGAGCTATGAGGTAATGTAGCTAACAAGTAATGGATGCTAATACATTCAACCTGCATGCCTAAATCATCACATGCATCTTCGTTTAGACATAACAATTGTAGTCAATTATTCACTGTCAGCACCTCCTATTGTGCAAAATAAAAACAATGAAATACTAATAGCTACTTACATCTGAACAAGACAACACAGTGCCACTGATGCGAAGCACTGCTCTTATAAAGCATCAGGTGGTGCCCCCTTGTGGAGAATTTGTAGCCTGCGAAACGTGAGTGAGTTCCATGAGGTGCTTCAGTCTAACAGACTGACAAACAGTCAGCCTTTTTTTAATTGGTGTTAACAGTCAGCTACAAAAATATGTATATTTGCATTTTCAATATAGACCTACAAAAATGAATAAATATATATTTGATTCTTTAAAAAGCTCCTCATGATGCAGATTTGTTGTGACAGTAGCCATCACTGCTTCTAATGCAACTTTTCTGCCAATCTAATTACGTCACTTTGGCCCTACATGTGAGGTAATTTGATACATTCTGTCCTTGCAGCCTAATCACCATAAAAAACCCTGTTACTAAAATCCAGCTCTCTTTATCAGATTTCTAGGCCTTGGTCCAATGTAAGAAATTGGAGAGTGCTGTTTACATGACCACTTGAATAATCAGATAACTACTGAAATCCGATAATGGTCGGATTATTAAGTGTGTGGAAATGCACTCGGTGTTAAGTGTTTTATGTAAAGAAACCCACGGTACTAAGTTTGACTTTTGACTATCACCTCATTGTGGTACTGGTTTTAACTTGCCTTTACCAAGTTAAAAGGCAAGTTATGACTCACCAATCAGAAGTGCGTCACACCTGCATAAGTGTTCAGTCACAAGACAATGGGAGGAGGGGACGGCGAGGAGATTCTTTTATTGAAACACACTTGCCCTCAGTTAGCATAACCTCAGCTAACTAATTAACCATGCTAACTTTGTAATGTATATTGTTTCTTTGAGAAGTCTGATCATAATGCAGCTTAATTTTGTGAATTATTGCTTTGTCTGGCTATTAGCTTTGCTTTAGAACCATGGTGTGTTGCCTTTATTTTTTGTTGTGGCAATCCATGTAGTGTGCTACCTAGCAAGCTAACAGAGCAGTGAAGTGACATTACCAGTCTCGCATAACAGAGCAGTTTGCTATATAAATCCCAGTATGAGCACAGCAAATGAAATGTGTTTTGAAATAATAACTTTTAACATACAGCCGTGTGCAAAAGTTTGCACACCCCTGTTTAAATGATGATTTTCAAGGTGAAAAAAATGATAACATCCTGTACAGAGAGCACAGATTTTAATTTACAGTTACTGCTTATTAGTGGAATTTGACATTCTGGGGATAATAAAAATAAAACACAAAATGTGGCCTATGCAAAAGTTATGGCACATTTTATATTTTGTTTTATCTTTTTCCAATGTGTTAATCTCAACCAAAAAATTTTAATTCTGTGAAAATGTAATATTTGAGTTGGTTCTCTGTATAGGAGTAAATCAAGTAGAAAGTCAACAAAGGAAGATGTAATTGGATGCAACTATATGTTTAAACATTGAAATGCATCTGATTGCAATGATTTCTGGGCTCACAAACTTCATTTAAACTAACACAGTAATGGAACAACGCTTGACCCCTTAAAATCCCAGGCTTATTATTCAGTAACAACAGGGAGTGAAATGCAACCTGGTTTAGCTATTCTTAGGTTATAGAAGTGTGTAATAAAATGTTATTTTTTATTTAAGGGGTTAAGATGGTGATGGGAATTTCCACAAGATGAAATGACGTGGCCAAATCGACAAGGGCATGTTATAGAGTACTGAAGTGGGCGTACATTTAGATGTCAAAATGAAAACATGCTGGAAAAAGGCCTGTACACTGTTAGCTAAAAGCTGCTCAGATCGATGTAAAATTGGCAAAAAAAAAATACATTTAAAAAGGCTAATCATGCTAACTGCTTGAGGTAAAATGGTTAAAGACTCATAGTCATATTGTCATATTGACTCAGTCATGTTGATCAAGTTGGTATAGACTGTCAAAGGAAAGGCCCCAGACTGCTCTCAGTCTCTGTAGGCCACGTCAAATCAAGCATACTATACTGTTAATAAAAAAGTGTATAGATTGTATCTGATACATGCATAAAACAATATTTCTGGTTGAAAAACATGCAGATTAACACTATGAAATAACAAATATTAAATTTTAAACTTCTAGGAATTGCTTTCAGCTGTGAAGGTGTTTAGAAGTTGTTGCTGTTATTATTATTGCCTATTCGCAATAATGATGGTTATGATTACTCATTTTTTCTTGCCAGATTAATCTGCTTTAATCCGTTTTTTATTGTTTCAGAATGAAATGGCTACGCATGCCTCCAGATCTCTGCGTTGAGGTTGGCAAAGCATTTTATTGCCTGCGTTTCTCGCTTTCAGCCACAATGAAAAGTTCGGCATGCAGTTTACAGGAATGCAGGACTTTCTGTCTTCATAAGTATCAAATTATGGCTCAGAAGTTTTGCCAGAACTTTTTCAATTATGGCCAAAACATTTTGCTAAAGGTTTTGTAATTAAGGCCAAAAACGTTTGCATTGTGTTTGGTAACGGAGGCCAGGAGGTTAGCAAGGAGATGGAAAAAAGGTAGTACGAAACAGAAAAAGAGAGAGAGAGAGAGAGAAAGCGAGAGAGAGAGAGAGAGAGAGAGAGAGAGAGAGAGAGAGGGAGAGACAGAGTGAAATAAGTTATCAGTATAGCAGTGTATTAAAGGGGAATTTTGCTGATTTTCAACAATTTTGCATAATTAAATGGTTAAGATGTAAACAAAGTCATTCAGAGTGGTTTGATGTGAAATGCTTTGTTCTACAGAAACGTACTGAGTCAGAATTATTGACAGCGGTGGTGATAGGAACCAGACGTCTGAAGAGTTTAATGCCTCTGAATTACATGAAACGGTTATGAATGCACTGCCTCAAGCCTGAAACATTATTTTATGATAGTTTTGAGATACAATTTTGGCCTAAAATGCGTTTTGAAAAACCATGATGGAGAAGCAAAGCTTTTTTTAGTTTTTTCAGATTCAGCACTATTTCACCATCATTACCTTTACATATAAAATTCAGAAGACACTGTAGGTTCATTGGTCATTTTGGATAGTAAATAAAATGTTGTAGGCATCGTGACCTCTGGTTCCTACAGTGTCAGAAAAAAGGCTCTGTGGAAGTACATTTTTCATTCACTAAAGTACAAACAACGTAAAGGTACAACAGTGGTTTCAAAGTCCATCTGTGCACCTTGAATACGTTTTTCTCAGGAGAAAAGTACATATGTATACCGTTTTATAACCAAAAATTTTAAAACAGAACAATAAAATAAAAAGCCAATAAAGAGTCAATAAAGTTTAAAAATTATATAAATGCAATGGATTATGGTACAGTTTTGTTCCTTGACTGAAGACGTACCCTTGAGGGTACCACCCCAGTGACAAGAGAGGTACTTTCCCATTGAGAGTTCACTACCTTTTTTTCTGAGAGTGTATCACCACTATATCCAAGTCAGTACATTTCTCTACAAGGCACTATTTCACATCAAACCACTCTGAATGATTTTGTTTACATCTTAACAATTGAACTTGTGTAAATGTTGAAAAATTGGTGGAGTTCCCCTTCAGTGTGAATGTCTTTTGATTACTGTTGAAATATTTTCTCAGTTTCTCCTGAACGTGAGAACGTCTTTATTAGTACGTGTCCTGAAAGCACCCTGTCTCTCTCTCTCTCTCGCTCTCTCTCTCTCTCTCTCTCTCTCTCTCTCTCCCCTTCATGCCAGAGCAGCTCTATCGCAGCACATTTCATTGCAGTGATGCAAATCAAAAGCTCCGAGTCTAGACATGATTCTCCTTTAATCATCACAGTAATGATGATTCCTCTCAGCAGAGAGAGGCGTTGGCCCGCTCACAGAGGGATCCAGTAGGGCTGCATGATAAGGACAAAATATTGCATTACTATTATATTGCCATGTACTGCAGTAGTGATATAACTTGCAATATGTTAATGAAGTGCTAGTGCCATAATACTGTATACCATGGTTAAAGACTGGCCTTCATTACTTTGACCAAACTGACTTATTTACGGTGGATTATTTGAATACCTTGATTCATCAAAACACCCACAGGAACATCTGAGGTGGTTCTGGAAGCCTACAGCAAGTAATAAAAAAATTGACTGTTTTGCTGGAGAGTTCATTTACATGTTGCAGCCTTCCGGAATAGCAGTATTGCAAAAGCCAATATTGCTGTAGTGAGTTAAAGGAGTATTCCATTGTTTTCCAGCCAAATCTCTCTCTGCTGCATTCATATTGTACCCTTAATTTCTATGAAAATGATTAGAAAAGGAAAGAAAACGTGTTGGGTATAATAGGAGCCATTGGGCAGTTCCTGAATTTAGTGAAAACACATTGGATACTGTAATATTGCAAACCTTAGGATGGCACAGACAACTTTCAAACACTGGTGCTATGGGGTTCCAGTTGCCTTCACCTTCCCTATGGTTTTGTGGTATCCATGCATGATCAGTCACTGGTATGAATGCTGGGAATGGAGAACTACAAATCCTACCCTCTGGAAAACTGAATGAGGCCCAATGTTACAGCTAAATTTATACAGCTATCTTTGACTGAATATATAAATAAATAAAGTCAAGAGTAGTTGAAGCCAGTTAATAAGTCAGTTAATAACAGAGGTTGTGATAGGAACCAGGGGTCACCATATCTACAACACAAATATAGCCATTTTATTTACTATCCAAAATGACCTGTGTTTTCTGTAATGTTGATAGTGGGGAAATATTGGTAAATCTGTCTATTCTGACTCACATCACCCTGCATTTACCTCTCCACCATGCATGGATTTTAAAAAAATACGTTTCATGCCAAAATCTTCTCTTCTCTCAAAACTATCATAAAACCATGTCTCAGACATTAGCCATTCATAACTGTAATTACTATGTGATGTAGCTTTTAGAGGCATTAAATGCTTCAAAAATGCTGGTTTCTATTACCATCTTATTACTGTTTTTCATGTATTAAAAATATGTTTCGTAAAACTATTGTAAAAATAAGTCTCAGACATCACACAGCATATTTTAGAATAATTTTAGGTAACATGTTTCTGTGAAGTAGCATTTAGAGGCCTTAAAAGTTCAAATGTCCTGAACAATTTTGATTCAGCAAGTTTTGCTAGAGTAGCACATTTTACATCAACTCACTCTGAATAACTGTTTAGATCTAACAGAAATTTAGAGAAATCGATGGAATTCCCCTTCAGCAGAATTCAGCAACTGCGGTTTGGTTTCTATTGTAAGTGGGTATTAAGTTTGAGTTTTGTGTCCTATTCTAGCCTGCTAACTGACTGTATGCTACAGGCTGAGAAAGAGATTCAGTTGAAAAATGAAAGAATATGCCTTTAAAACGCCCGTATCCTGCATTTTTCTTGTCTGTTTTTTCTCTCTCCACTATGACATTGTTGTGGGTTTATGCACTAGTCATATTTCATTTTTATGTGAATAAAAAACTGAATTCAAAATAGACTGTTTTTGCAGCTTAGTTTCCATACATGGACCATATGGACTGAGGAGTGTACGGCATGTTTTGAGACTTGAATGATGTTTGCATACTACATGAAATTCATGTAGTATGTAAATATTCAATTCAATCTATGATATTGGGCCTTTAATAACTGATATATTGTGGGGCTGTAGAATCAAGTGACGGGTATCACAGTTAAACCTGGAAGTAGTGCTGCACCTTTCAGCAGAAGGGTCACATATTGCCACTGCCCAGCCCACAGCTTTCACATCCTGCCCATTCACTCTTATCTTTCAGACTGTTTAAGTTCCAAAGGTTCATTCCGTCAGTGTACTGGAAGTCATCTGAGGAGAATGACTGGTCTTCTGTGATCAGGTTCATTTTCTTGTACAGTTTGTGTGTGTAGCGGTTCTGAGGTTTTGTAGCCTGTTGCAACAAATCTTGACGTAAGTTGAGGGTACGCAGCAAATTATAAAGATGTCTAAGACTTGGAACAGTGGTAGCAGTATGCTTTCTCTCTCTCTCTCTCTCTCTCTCTCTCTGTTTCTCTCTCTCTTCTCCTGGCACAAGGCCCAGAATGTTGTTGCAACATCGGTTGCTCTGATTGGCTGGCTGGGGTCGTGCAACACTTCTGAGAAAGGGGAAATGACCTCGCTCGCCCGCTCTCCACTTCCTCCCCCCAAACTCTCTCTCTCTCTCTCTCTCTCTCTCTCTCTCTCCCTCTCTGTCTCTTCCTCTATCTCTCTCTCTTTAAATAGATTTGCCATGGCTTGCTGCTGAGTGCTCTGCTGTAAGTGATATGCTATTTGATTTGATTTTCCAGAGCCTGGACCGAAGCTGTTGAATCTGTAAAGGGCTGCTTTGTGCAGGCCATGTGCGTGTGTGAGTGTGAGTGTGTGTGTATGAGAGAGAGAGAGAGAGACTGAGAAGTAGAGAAGAAAGGTAGAGAGAGAGAGAAGAATGCGTTTGACAGAATGCTTTATTTGCTCTAGCTGACGGTGTTATGTAGACTGCGGTGCATTTTTGGCATTTTTGAGTGTGTGAAGAGTTTGTGCAGCTGGTTAGAGACAGTAAGAGCGAGCGAGGCAGAGAAAGATAGAGAGAGTCAGAACGAGAAAGAGAGGGACAGAGAGAGAGACAGAGTAAGAGCAAGCGAGGTAAAAAAAGAGAGACAGAATGAGAGAGAGAGAGAGACAGAGTGAGAGAGATAACAGGAAGGAGAGAGACAGAATGTGAGCGAGAGCTAGAGTGTTGGAGTAAAGGAGAAGGAGAGAGAGAGATAACAAGAGAATCTATTTTAAAAAGAGGAAAGAGTGAGAGTAAAAAAAAAATATAAGAGAATGAGAGAGACAGTGAAATAGAGAGACTCCATGTGAGGGAGATTATAAGGAGAGAGAGAGACAGCATGAGAGAGAAAGAGTTGAAGCAAGAAAGAGAGAGAGAGAACGAGAATGAGTGTGAAAGATATAAGAGAAAGTGAGAGAAGGGTAGAGAGAGTCACAGTCAAGTAAGAGTGAGGTATAGTGAGTCAGAGTGAGAGAGAGAGAGAGAACAAACATTCCCCTTCAAACTCTAGGCTTAGTATTTAGTTATCAATCTTAAAGCTGGTTGTAATAAACCTCACAAACTCAAACCATCGTTTTGGCCAAAAAGACATTGTTTTGCTTCAAACACATCTTTTATTTGAAATATACTGCCAACTTGAGGCCTTTTATTCAGTTACTATTATAAATTATTCAATAGCTACTATGAAACTACCATGTATGGTCTGTAGTTACGCCAGTGAAGAATGGAATTTAAAGTGGTCTTAAAAATGGTCTTTGTGAAATCTACATGTACCCTCTTTTTATGTTGTCAGTTGTCCCTGGTCCCTGGTCATATTAAGCATGATTGCTCATATCAACTCAAAGTCAGTCTTCCGAAAACAATAATAGTAACAAAAAAGAACATATTAGCTAATAATATCATGTCACACCTCCCACTTCTTACATCCCACCTATCATTGAGAAAAAATGCTCAGCTAGCTCAGAAACCCCCCAACACTGAGTTGCACTCCGAAATAACATCACTGTTCAGACTGAAAAATGTGTTATGATTCCCGATACATATTGACTAAAATATTGCCTTTGTAATCACTTTCTATTACAGAAATAGTGCACTATATAGATTATCAGGCAATTTAAAGTGTAATTTGATTCTTCAGTTCTGTTTAGCAAGCAGCAAATGAGTTACCCCTGAGCATCCTGCTGCCGACACATTTAGAGAATTTGGTGATGACCCCTTAAGCTTATTTAAATCTGCTGCCAGAAGAATTATGGCATCTGCATGTCCCCATAGGCCAGAGTGAAAGAGCATCAGTGTGTAGAATTGGAGCTTTCTGTGTGTTACCTTGTTTTCTATCACTGTATAAAATAGACACAAGGTTTCTTTTACAGTTGGAAACTGTGTTTTTTCTGACCAAGCATGTGATCTTATTCAGAACAGGATTCAGTGTCAGTGTAGAATCAGATTTGTTGTAGAATATTCATGCTATTGTGTTTCCTATAACTGTATAAAAGATGCACAAGGCTTCTGTTCTTCCATGCTATGATTTTTATATAGAGTACAATTCAGCTCTATAAGAGCTCATTACTGTTTTGCTCAATCAGAGTAATGATATAAAGTGACTGACGTTTGAATTACATTCCCATTCGTTCTTCAAAAAGTTAGTTACACTTTTTCAGCTTTGATAGATCACATTCTTTACATATCCATTATATGTGGCAACCTGCATTGAGACATCAGGTTATCACAAAAGAAGAGCAGATTACACTGTAGAAAAGCCTTGTAGAGTGTTGATGAGTGGGTTAAACTGATGATGATGATCTCTCTCTGTTTTGCAGGTGGGTACTGAAGATAGTGCCCTCTCTTGCTGCAGCTTGGACCCGCTTGTAGTGCCATTCCCTGCTTTTCCGCCAGCTTGCTGCCCAAAGCCAGGCCAAGAGCACGAGCTTTGACCTTTGACCCCAGACCCTGCGACCCCCTTAGTGACCCTGGTCAAACCCCTCCTGAATCTCACCCACCACATCACACCACCAACTTCCACAGAGCTACCGTAACCCCGGGATCAGCGGGAGTTTTAGCACTTGGAGCTTTCTCTGTGTGTGTATGTGGAAGGAAGAGAAAAAAAACAGCCCGCAGAAATCTTGGAGCAAAGTTTTTTGTTTTCGTTTCGGCTGCCCGGGATTTTTCTAGCGCTTCTGTGCCTCCCTGCCTCGACCCCACACTCTCCGCTGTGGAACAAGAGCACACTCCATGTGGATCGCTTGAGCGAGAGAGACCAACAGACACCACAGACAAATAAGAACGCAAAGTGGGTCCTCCTGACCTTGGATACGCACACGCACATTAGCAGTTAGCTTGCTGTGGGCAGCTTTTCACGGTCGCCATGGCAATGAGCATGGCACACATCCGAGACCCCAAGTGGCTGACGCTGGAGGTGTGTCGCGAGTTCCAGAGAGGGACATGCTCACGCTCGGACGCGGAATGCAAATTCGCCCACCCGGCCAAAAGCTGCCAGGTGGAGAATGGCCGAGTCATCGCCTGCTTCGACTCGCTGAAGGTAAGAGGCGGAGGCTGCTGGCTTTTTTTTCCACTGCAGGACGAGAGAATGCAGCAGAGTGAGAGAGAGAGAGAGAGAGAGAGACGGAGAGAGGCTCAATCAGAGAGAATGAAAAAGAGAATAAGAGACAGAGAGAGCGAGGTAGAGATGCAGAAAGCGAGAGAGAGAGGGAGCTTGAGAGAGATAGAGAGAGTGTTAAGTGAGACAGTAAGACAATGAAAGAGTAAGAAAGAGTGAGAGGCGCAGTAAGACAGCATGAGAGAAAAGAGAAAGAATAAAAGAGTGAGAGGGAGAGATGCAGATAGAGTGAGAGCGAGTAACAGAGAGACAGGAAAAAGAGAGATGCATAAAAAGTGAGAGAGAGAACTTGAGAGAGATAGAGAGAGTGAAGTGAGAGAATAAGAATGAAAGAATGAAAAGTGTAATACGACAGTGTGAGAGAAATGAGATCTAGAGAATGAAAGTGAGAGGGAGAAATGCAGAGAGAGTGAGACAGAAAGAAAGAGTGAGGCAGTGTGAGAAGTGCCATAAGAGAGAGTGAAAGAAACTAAACAAGCTAGAGGGAGAGAGACAGAAGGAAAGAGTGAGAGAGGAAGAGGTGCAATAATAGAGAGTGAGAGAAAAGAGAGAAAGAACAAATGAAAAAGTGTGAGAGATAAACTAAGAAACAGAGGTAGAGGGAGAGTGGGAGAAGGAAAAAGTGAGAATGAGAGTAAATGAAAGAGTGAGTTTGAGTGAGTGAGATGGAGAGATGCAGAGAGACTCAGAGAGACAGAAAGAACGAGTGAGACAGTGCGAGAAGTGCCGTAAGAGCGAGTGAGAGAAATAAAACAATAAGACAAAGTATGAATGAGTAAAACAAAGTAAGAGGGAGAGAGACAGAAGTAAAGCATGAGAGAGTGAGAGAAAAGAGAGAAAGAGATTGTATAAATGTGTGAGAGGAAGAGATGCAGTGAGACCAAGTGAGAAAAAGTGAGACAGAGGAAGAAAGAAAGAATGAAAAGAATGAAAGAGTGAAAGAATGAAAGAGTAAGACAGAGTGAAAGGAAAGCAAGAAGGAGGATGAGGAGAGGGAGAGATGCAGAGAGAAAAGAGTGAGAGACAGAATGAAAGGAAGAGACAGGCTGAGCGGTGCAGTAAGAGACAGTGAGAGAAACAAGTCAATAAGACGAATGAAAAAGAGTGGAGCAGAGGTAGAGGGAGACAGGTGAGAGTGAGAGTGAATGAAAGAGCAAGATTGAGTGAGTGGAAGAGATGCAGTGAGAGAGTGAAACTATACAAAGGGAGAGTGAGAGAAAAGAGAGTGTGAGAGTGACAGAGAGAATGAGTACGACAGAATGAGAAGGAACAGTTCAGCAAGAGAGAGTGAGGGAGATAAGAAAGAGAAAGAAACAAAATGAAAGAGTGAGAGAGATATATAACAACAGAGAGCGAGAGAGATGCAGGAAGGGAGAGTAAGAGAAGAACAGACTCAGTGTATCTGAGCCCGTCAGGGTGAGCGATGCAGTGAGAAAGAAAGACAGACTGAATGAAAGAGTGAGACAGAATAAGAGGGAGAAGTGCAGTAAGAGAGAGTGATTGAGAGTGATACAGAGTGATGAGGTTTATTTTGACCACGTGCATCATATGACTTTCACCACCTCCCTGAATTAAAACCCTGAACTGGTGCTGTTAAAGCTCTGGACACGCTAAGCTTGTTTTGCATTAGCGCGATGATCCGGCATTTGTTTTGTAAACCCTGCCGATGTCTCATGCCTGAGAAGGTTTGGAAAGACAGCAGTCCAGATTCATAAAACTCAGCAGTAACCGTGTTACACCGCGCAAAATGTGCACCACAGTAATTAAGTCCTGTTACCGTGGTGATGATCAGCAGCCTCTCCGTAACACTGCAGTATTTCTACGTGTTCTAGGTAAAGGCCAATCTAAATCCACATGTTAAAGAGTTAATACATATTAATGCCTTAATTAAAGTTTGGGTGCTAAAATGGAAGTGCTTCTGAATCTGCTACATCCCATAATCAGAGCTACAGATGCTAAGAAAAAAGCAGAAGTATTTTTATTCTGTGTTTTGTTGCTGTTTTATTATTTCAGAAATCTAAATCACTGTAATGCACGACCTCTCGCTGCTTATTGCTTTAATAGTGTGCTCCTGCGTGTGCACTACTTAGAAGAAAGAAAGCGGCCTTCCTCTTCGTGGACTGCAACTGCAGTTGGATTGTTTGCCATGATGCGTCCAAACAGAACAAAGTTTGGAGTTTGTGTACATGCGTAATTTGTTGATGTCTTGCATGCATAACCAAACATTAATAAAAGGATTATAAAAAGGATCTTCAGCATCTTTCCAGGTTTCATTTTTTAGGGATGCTTGAAGATATCCAAGTCACATTGCTCTCTGCAGATATCTGCTTTAAAGTGATCAGCACAGGGCAGATGTTTAAATTTTTGGTGACACTTTTATTGTACTCTGGAAAAGCAGAATGTTTAGGCAATGCATTTTAATACATTTTTAATCCTCTACAGATAAAAGTTATATTTCCCTGTAATGCTAATCCAAGTATATGAAGTCCCAATTTCTACACTGAATAAATGTTTATGTATCGCTGTTGTCCCACAATTCAGTATCAGTGTATCCCTAGTATTTTATATGAGCCGACGTTCTGCTGTGAATTGCTAATTATACATGCAAATGAGTCACAACAGTAAAACAGGCTGATAATCCTCATTTATGGATGGCAAAATGATATCACAATGTTATTTGCTCTTTATGGTAAATCTGGAGGTGCGTTTTGAAAATCTGGCCAAGTATTGTTTATAAATCTAGTATTTAGAGTGGTTAGAATTTAACTAAATCGCAAACTCTTCGCTCCTCTATAAGAACAACATATGGAGCTACATGTGGCACTAAAAAGAGATTTAGATTGGCATTTATTTCACACATACACAAGCTAGGACTGTCACAATTACTACATAATTGCCTAATCGCAATTATTTGAGATGATCACATTTAGAATTTTTCACCAGATGTAAATGTGAATTTAGTGAGCTGAGTTGAGGCAAAGAAATGTAAATACAAGAAAGCAGTAAATGTATTCTTTGAGAAATCTAGCTTGGTACTCTTACATGTTTAGATGTTTATTTGTTAGCTATGTAGCTAATCTGATGTTTTTAGCATGCATGCTAACAGAATGATGCTTTTATGTTCACTTTCAAGAAAACATAAGCTTTGCCTAAATACACATGATTCTGCGGATCTGAGACATTTGTGTGAGTGCCAGTTCAACAGTACCAGTGTTGGCTACATATTCAACATAGCTAGGAAGCAAGATGGCCAACAAGCCTGTTTGGCGGCTTTTGGCTTGTACTTTAATAGATGCATAGAAAAAAATCATTAATCGTAATTATTCGTATGGCAGTTAATCATCAGCTAAAACTTCATGACTGTGCCAGCCCTATCTATATCTCTGTAATCTTTAAAAATGTGTTTTATACACAGGCTGCTAAGAATGTATTACACTTGTTACATTTAGTCCTGCGCCTGGCATCAAAACCAAATGGTGGTTGGTTTCCACAGCTAGATGTTTCCAGCATAAGTAATAAACAGCACTCTAAACATGTCTGCACCTTCATTTACTCAACTGGAATGTGCGATAGAAAGCAGTGGAAGAGTATCACAATGACAACACATGCTGCTCATTTACAGGAAGCCATAATTGTTTCTTGGCTGCGTTCAGTAGCGTTGGTGTGAATTGTTAGTCTTTGCTGAGGCCGGTTTACTGCTCTTTTCTATACTGGTTAAGATTTGAGTAGGTGGAGCTGGTCCTTGTTCTGTGTAAAACTTTCTCAAAGAAACAGTAGAAAATCTAAATATTGAGCCAGTGTGTCTCTAGAATGTTCTCCCACATTCACCCTGGTTTCTTTTGCTTTGGGTTTGAGTTGGTGTGCCTTGTCTAAAATGGGTGATTAACTAAAAAATGTAAGCAGTTTTCCTCTTTCCCTAAATGTAGTCAGTCAGCCAGGACATGTTTAATGTCCAAGACATGTTTGATTGCTAATTTAGCTAACAAGTAACGGAAGCTAATACCTCACCCGTTAGCATTGTGGATTACTACACTGTGTGGCATGTTGCTATCTATAAGAATGATTCTGCTGTTTTTAGCTAAGGAATATGCTTTTACATTGTTTTTTTATAGATAACAGCATGTCAAACAGTGTAAGAAACCACATAAGCAAGTCTATTTGAGATGTTTTAACAACTCAACATGGTTTGAGGCATGTCTGTGATTATTTAAGCGTGTAGCATGATGCTAACCTGGCAGCTGTAGATTTCAGTACTTGTTACTAGACTGGTAGCTCCAGAGCAAAGCTTAAAGAAATGGTTCACTGAATAGTGGTTCACAATTTCCCCCTTACCACAAAAATAGCTGATCGGCCAAGACATATTTGGTGTCCAGACGTTGCTTGTACGAGGCTAATGTAGGTAACAAGTAATAGAAGCTCAAAACATTAAGCATGATTGATCAACTGTGTTTATGGCAAGGAGATTTTTTTGGTTAACTTTTCATTTAAGAGTTCTGTCATCTGTTTAAGTGCCGTTGACCACTGTATATTCTCAGTGTAAGCACTAGTTTTGTGTACTTTACAGTGCACAAAGTTTTTGAGTCACAGATGTTGAGGCTGCACTAAAGCTGGTGGATTCTCCAGTGTGTTGTTATCTGGGCTGAAACGGTTCTGATGGTGCTGTTTTGGAGTGTGCGTCTCAGACTCTTCTCTGCTGTTACTGTGGTCGAATCCTCCAGTGGTTTACTGTGTAAACTAGGAAACTGACTCAGAGAAGAAGGCCGTGCAGTATATCTGAATGCTTGTCACATCTGGAATCAAGTTCAGCATTTTAGCAATCTAGACATGCAAGGATATATATTTACATACATATAACATGTCTATTAGTCCATTAGTCCATATATACATATAGTCTAAGACTAAATCCTTTTTCAATGACCCTA